TATTTTTAAGGCCATAAAAGAGTCTTTGTCTTGGATTTATTTTTTTATCCAGAGATCAGCATTTTTCTTCTAGATTTAATCCAGTTAAATCAGGTTCACTCTTTCTTGGGTTTCTTGCTCTGTTCCCAGTTTTCCACTGCATAGCAGAGTTTCTCCAGAGGCCTCGGCATGTTGCCGGGAGCAGCTGCCTTAGCTGTAAACACCCGGATTGGCACTGGAAAAAACATCAACAGCAAGCAAGCTGCTTTGCCTTTCCACTGCCAGAGGCTCTGCACATGTAGAAACAGCACCATGAAAGGCATAACTTTAGATTTCCTCTTACGTAAATTAAAATTAATGAACTGCTTTCTTCGTTTCGGATCTCATTTTTCCCTCTCGGAATAATAGTACCATAGATTCTATTCTACCAAAATGGAGGATCACCACTAAAGAAGCAGACATATCCATAAACATGAAAGTTAGATTTCCTACATGCTCAAGCGTTTTGCTGATCAAAACCTTTTTTTTTTTTTTTAACCTTAGTCATTTTGAAGGCTGGAGCCCATGTTAGTGAAAGCCTACTCACAGTTGATTAAGTACCACTTCCATTCAGGACTGCAATTCAGCACATCCTCATTGAGGGCTATTATGCGCAAGCTCTGCATGAAAAGCTGGGAGCCACCTAGAGGAGGATGTTGGCTCCTGCCCTAAGGAGCTCAGCTCAGTTCAGTAGGTGTTGTGTGCCTGCACTGATGCTTACTGCCCAACAAGGATTGACTTTACCATGTTGTGTTGTGGTATAAGTGCAAGAAGGGAAATTTTTTTAAACCTAGTGCCACAGGATTCAAAGACAGGAGGGTAGGATAGGTGGTTTAGAAAAAGTTTCTGGAAGCAGAGGCTGAACACAGTGGGGAAGACATAGACATTCACAAATGCTTAACTGAATGCCAGGCCTTGAATCAGGCTCATTCCAAATGTCATTCATCTTTTTTGAGACAGAGTCTTGCTCTGTCACCCAGGCTGGAGTGCAGTGACGCGATTTTGGCTCACTGCAGCCTCCGCCTCCCAGGTTCAAGTGATTCTCATGCCTCAGCTTCTGAAGTAGCTGGGACCACAGGCACATGACACGATGCCCAGCTAATTTTCGTATTTTTAGTAGAGGTGAGGTTTCGCCATGTTGGCCAGGCTGGTCTTGAGTTCCTGACCTCAAGTGATCTGCCTGCCTCAACCTCCCAAAGTGCTGGGATTACAGGCATGGGCAACCGCACCCGCCCTGCCATTCTTCTCACTCTGCCAATCAGGCTGGAGTGCAGTAGTACAGTCATAGCTCACTGTAGTCTTGAACTCCTGGACTGAAGCAATCCTCCCACCTCAGCTTCCCCTGAGTAGCTGGTATTACAGGCACACGCCACCATACCTGGTTAATTTTTTATTATTTTTTTGTAGAGACAGGGTCTTTCTGTGTTGCCCAGGCTGGTCTCAGACTCCTCAAGTGATCTTCCTGTCTCAGCCTCCCAAAGCTCTGGTATTACAGGCATGAGCCACCACACCTGTCCTAATCTAATTTTCAAATATGATTTAAAGTACCTTGTTTGTAGTTAATTATAAATTAAAGAGATTGGAAAATATGATCAGCAAAATACATGATCATACTAAACATACTATTTTAAAACTTGGTTTTACCAGTTAGTACCATTTTGGACATTTTCTATGTCATTAAGTATGCTTTTTCACAAACTCTTAAAGATGATTTCTTTCCTTGTCTTTTCTTTCTTTCTTTCTTTCTTTTTTTTTTTTTTTTTTTTTGGAGACAGGGTCTCACTGTGTTGCCCGGGCTAGAGTGCAGTGGCACAATCTTGCCTCACTGCAGCCTCAACCTTATAGGCTCAAGTGAACCTCCCACGTCAGCCTCCCAAGTAGCTGTGACTACAAGTGCATACCACCGCACTTGGCTGATTTTTATATTGTTTGTCAACACAGGGTTTCACCATGTTGCTCAGGCTGGTCCACCGGCCTCAGCCTCACAAAATGCTGGGATTACAGCTGTGAGCCTCTGCACCCGGCCACTGCATGATTTCTTTAACCATTTCCCTTGTAGCTAAGTGGGTAAGAAGATACAAATATAAGAAAAGTTAAATTCTTAAAGTGTTAGGAGAAAATATATAGACAGTGGACTTATTTTTAAATGCATGATACTAAGGATAGAAATGTATGCCAGGCACAGTGGCTCATACCTGTAATCCCAGCACTTCGGGAGGCCGAGGAGGGCGGATCACCTGAGGTCAGGAGGTCAAGACCAACCTGGCCAACATGGTGAAAACCCGTCTCTACTAAAAATACAAAAAAAATTAGCCAGGGTTGGTGGCAGGCACCTGTAATCCCAGCAACTCAGGAGGCTGAGGCAGGAGAATTGCTTGAACCTCAGAGGCAGAGGTTGCAATGAGCTGAGATCATGCCACTGGACTCCAGCTTTGGCAACAGAGCAAGACTCTGTCTCAAAAAAAAAAAAAAAAAAAAAAGACACGTAATAGCAAAGACGAATAGTTTTAAAAATCCTTTGGGTATCAAGAGTACTCTAAATAAAATGTAAAGGCATTATCTTGTTTAATTCTTACAATAGCTTTGTGAAGTAGGTACTTAGATTTCTTTTAGAGAAGGGGAAACTGAGGCACAGAGAACTGACAGTGTGGAAATCGGTGCTTTCTATGAGATTGATGATTTTGTGTGTGTGTGTGTGTGACTGAGTCTCACTCTGACCTAGGCTGGAGTGCAGTGGCACAATCTCGGCTTGCTGCAACCTCCACCTCCCAGGTTCAAGCTATTCTCCTGTCTCAGCCTCACCAGTAGCTGGGACTAAAGGTGCGCACCACCATGTCTGGCTAATTTTTGGTTTTTGTTTTTGTTTTTATTTTTGTTTGGAAACAGAGTCTCAGTCTGTCACCCACGCTGGAGTGCAGTGGCGCCATCTCAGCTCCCAAGTAGCTGGGACGATAGACATGCACTACCACACCCAGCTAATTTTTGTATTTTTTAGTAGAGATGGGGTTTCGCCATGTTGACCAGGCTGGTCTCGAACTCCTGGCCTCAAGTGATCCATCCGCCTAGGCCTCCCAATGTGCTGGAATTATAGGTGCCCAGCCTAATTTTTGTAATTTTAGTAGAGACGGGGTTTCACCATGTTGGCCAGGCTGGTGTCACACTCCTGACCTCAAGTGATCTGCCTCCCTTGGCCTCTGAAAGTGCTGGGATTACAGGCGTAAGCCACTGTGCCCAGTGAGATTGAGGATCTTCCTGCAGAACGAAAGCTGATAAAATAAGAGGCAGAGTGAGACGGTAGCTCCAGTTTGGTCTTTCCATCAGCCTTGGATGTGAATCCCAGCTTTACCACTTAGGAAAGGTGACGGAAGGGCCGCTTTTCAGACAGTTGAAAATACTATATTTTCATTTCATATTTTAAATTGTTCATTTCCATATTCTTTCTCATTATAACTATTTTGACCAAAAAAAAAAAAAAATAATGTGTTTAGATGTCTTGAACATCAGTTGTGTCTTAAAATGCAAAATTCCAGAGACAGCAAGAACAAATTAGATGCTAATTACAACTCCTTTTCCTATCCCTTATATAGCACACTATACTATCTCTTAAATAGTAGAGATTGTCAAGTTCACACTTGAATAGGGATGGTATAGGTATCGATCATTAACTACGTTTTAAAGAGATGGAAGGAAAAAAGTCAAAACTACGAGCTGTTACCAACTGGGTGAAATAAAGTAAGAGAGTTTCCAGCTATCATCATAGTTTATCAGTGGGAAATTTTGGAATAAAGAAATTTAGAATTTAAGTGTTGTTTAGGTCATCTTTTGGTAGATTCAATCAAGTTTAAAATTCTACCATGTCTTGGATATGAGCAGACGGCTCATTGATGGCATTCAGTAAAATCTTTCTGTGTAGCTGGTTTAAAATTTCACTTAAAACAGGGACATAATATTTACCTTCTCTTCAGTAACAAAATTTATGTTATGTAATAACCTTGACATGTTTACAAAATCATGTTTAATGGGCTCTCCAGAGCTCCGGTGAATACCACAATTTGGTCTGTTTTCAACATTTCTAAATAATCTGGGAAAGCTGTAGGAAATGAAATATCTGTCGTAAACTTTTTGTATCAGGCTTAACTACTGCTTTCTTGAAGTTTAGCAAAAGGATAAAGGGCTGTATGTTCTTCATTAACTGTAGTCAAAACTGAATTTAAGGACTTTTGATAGCTGTTCAGAATTACTGTTTGAATCTCTACTACAAAGAATATTAAGATTTTTAGCATTTGAGAGTCCTAATATTCCCACTTAAAAATCATTAGACTTACTTTGGGAGGCCAAGACACGTGGATCACGTGGTCAGGAGTTCTAAACCAGCCTGGGCAACGTGGTGAAACCCCATCTCTACTAAAAATACAAAAATTAGCCAACCATGGTGGCACACACCTGTCATCCCAGCTACTCAGGAGGCGGAGGCAGGAGAATTGCTTGAACCTGGTGGGTAGAGGTTGCAGTGCGCCAAGATCGTGCCACTGCACTCCAGCCTGGGTGACTGAGCGAGACTCCGCCTCAAAAAAAAAAAAAAAAAACAGTAGACTTAGGGCCGGGTGCAGTGGCTTTTGCCTGTAGTCCCAGCACTTTGGGAGGTTGAGGCGGGCAGATCACTTGAGGCCAAAAGTTTAAGACCAACCTAGCCAACATGGTGAAACCTCATCTCTACTAAAAATACAAAAAAATTAGCCAGGCATGGTGGCGCATGCTGGTAATTCCAGCTACTCAGGAGGCTGAGGCATGAGAATCACTTGAACCCAGAAGGTGGAGGTTGCAGTGAGCCAAGATCGCACCACTGCACTCCAGCCTGGATGACAGAGTGAGAGTGTCTCAAAAAAAAAATAAATCAGTAGACTTTATCATTTAATTCCAAGTATATACGTATATACTTGTAGACATGTATAATTTAGTACATTGTATTTTTTCCCAAACAGATAAACAATCAGATTCTGTATGGAAGAAGTCACCAAAATGCATCTGCCATTATTAAGACCGCCCCATCAAAAGTCAAGCTGGTTTTCATCAGGTAAGATTGCTAGATCTGGTTTTGCAAAATCAAAGACCTCTTCTGAAGATGTTATTAATGTAAGACTATGTCATCTTTGATTTGTCTAGCGAAATCACTGTTTCTTCTAAAAACATATATTCCTTTTGTAACTGTCACTTCAAGAAAAGTATTGCAGGGCGCGGTGGCTCACGCCTGTAATCCCAGCACTTTGGGAGGCCAAGGCGGGCGGATCACGAGGTCAGGAGATCAAGACCATCCTGGCTAATATGGTGAAACCCTGTCTCTACTAAAAATACAAAAAATTAGCCGGGCGTGGTGGTGGCGGGCGCCTGTAGTCCCCGCTACTCGGGAGGCTGAGGCAGGAGAATGGCGTGAGCCCGGGAGGCGGAGCTTGCAGTGAGCCAAGACTGCACCACTGCACTCCAGCATGGGTGACAGTGAGACTCTGTCTCAAAAAAAAAAAAAAAAAGAAAAGAAAAGTACTGATTGTTTTGATTATGAAGTTTTCTTACTTGCTTATGTTTCACAGCGTAGAATCGGTAGCTGAGGCTAGTATTTATAATTCAGTTATAAAACATTCTTCCCTTTCTGGATCCATTTATCCTGTATATAAATATAATGAGACCTGCTAACTTCTCTTCCTGTCACTATTATTTGGTACATTTGCTGAATCATTAATGTCTTCATTAAAGAATAAACAAGAAAATAGAACTGAGGACATTTTTAGGAGCTTCCTTGTAAGAGTGCTGGTGAGAAGCCCGGAGTAGAGAAGATGTCAGCACTGCTGCCTAGAGTTGTATTGTGTGTTTGGGGCTTCACATTTACTCACACCTCCCCTGCAAGCTGATTGAGCCCTCTTGGTACAAGTAAATCAGAATTAGGGATCTGACTGTTTGTAGCCAACATTGCCACATCAGCAGTAGAAATGAGGTTGTTTGATTCTCTTTATTGGACTGAAATGACAAGTAAATCTGAATTATTTTTAGGTCATGTACCTAACCCTCTATGTTCACTGTAGCTCTGCTTCTTTTTCCTTCTGGGACTCAGGTATCATCTGTAAAATGGGATAATAAAGCACCTCCCTCATTCATTGTGATATTTCAGAAATTGAAAATGCTCAATACAATATCTAGCAGAGAATAAGGGGTGAAAGAATGTTAGCTGCTATTTTAGGATGATGACAATCATTATTATTCTTCCCTTTCTCATTAGCTACCAGCAGTAAGATCTGTCCATTCCCAGGGACCATTGGGATTAGGAGGTGGTTTTATTCCCAGCATGGGCACTAACGTGATTGAAATATTCCTTTCCACTTCTACTTTGCTCCTGAAGAAATCCTGCATTAGGACCAGGCACGGTGGTTCATGTCTGTAATCCCAGCAGTTTGGGAGGATCACCTAAGGTTAGGAGTTTGAGACCAGACTGGCCAACACAGCGAAACCTGTCTCTACTGAAAAATACAAAAAATTAGCCAGGTGTGATGGCACACAACTCTACTCCCAGCTACTCGGGAGGCTAAGGCAGGAGAATTGCTTGAACCCAGGAGGCAGAGGCTTCAGTGAGCTGAGATCGCACCATGCACTCCAGCCTGGACGACAGAGAAAGACTCTATCTCAAAAAAAAAAGGAAAAAAAAAAAAAAAAAACCAGGCATGGTGGCTCACATCTGTAATCCCAGCACTTTGGGAGGCTGAGGCGGGCAGATCACGATGTCAGGAGTTCGAGATCAGCCTGGCCAAGCCAACATGGTGAAACCCTGTCTCTACTAAAAATACAAAAATTAGCCAGGCGTGGTGGCGCACACCTGTAATCCCAGCTACTCAGGAGGCTGAGGCAGGAGAATTGCTTCTTGAACTCAGGAGGCAGAGGTTTCAGTGAGCCGAGATCACACCACTGTACTCCCACCTGGTTGACAGAGCGAGACTCTGTCTCAAAAAAAAAAGGAAATCCTGTATTAGCATCCTTTTCTCCCACCTAGTGGCACTTTCTGGCTTTCTAGTTTTTTACTCTATTTTCAGAGAGTGAAAGCTTCCTCCTTCACATATGTCTTTGTATGTTAAGATGAGCCCTTTATCCTTACTCTCCTTTGACATCCTCTGTTAGACACCAGTCTCCTTTTTGGTTTTCTTGTCCTTTCTTTTGGCAAGGGTTATAAAATTAAAGTTAGTTGATTTAAAAAAAAATTGAGTAGACTTTGAAGAAAGGTCGGCACTCAAGAGATTCAGATGTTGTTCATTGAGAGAAGTCCACAAAAGTAGTGTGTTTAGACTTGAAAACTTTGCATAAAGTTGTGTGGGGGCCGGGCGCAGTGACTCACACCTGTAATCCCACCACTTTGGGAGGCCAAGGCAGTAGGATGGCTTGAGTTCAGGAGTTTAAGACTGGTCTGGGCAACATAGTGAGACCCAATCTGTGCAAAAGAAAAAAATTAGCCGGGTGTGGTGGCATGTGCCCTGTAGTCCCAGCTACTTGGGAGGCTGAAGCAGGAGCATCGCATGAGCCAAGGAGGTTGAGGCTGCAGTGAGCCATGATCACGCCACTACACTTCAGCTTGGGTGACAGCAAGACCTTGTCTCAAAAAAAAAAAAAAAAGCACACTGTGTGGCTAGTACATGAGAAGATGTATGTAGCACTTAACAGGGTCAGCATCTGCACATGGTATTTAGTACATAGTGATGGCTGCTACCACAAGAGCTGTTATCAACATTACTTACCTCTTCAGCACATGTGGTGGGGCTTTTATTACCCACATGGGCCGTGCAATTTTAAAGAGAGCAAAAAGAACATTGAATAGAGTCCAAAGGAAATAATTTAATGCAATTGTGTAGTTGGGAAATAAAACCCTCCTCCTTCAATAAAGAAAGGTTAAACGATTTGAAATTATTTAGAAGACAGAAGAGAAACCTGAATAGAATTTTAATCATAGTAGTAAAGCTCCATCAATTTAGAGTCTGATTATTTCAGTTTTGATCATTGAACAGAACAGAATCAAGAAAAGAATTTGTTGAGTAAATCAATGGTATACACAAAATTGAGGACGCTACTGAATGCTTATTTACTGGAAGTGATTTTAAGCAATTTAGAAGTATCAATGTACATTTAAAATCTGTACTCTAATTCTTAGTCCATTCGGACTGCTGTAACAAAATACCCGAGTGTCTTACAAAGAACAGAAATTCATTTATTTATTTATTTATTTTGAGACAGAGTCTTGCTCTGTCACCCAGGCTGGAGTGCAGTGGTGCGATCTTGGCACACTGCAACCACTGCCTCCCAGGCTCAAACAATTCTCATGCCTCAGCCTCCCGAGTAGCTGGGACTATAGGTGTGTACCACCAGGCCCGGCTAATTTTTTTTGTATTTTAGTAGAGATGGGGTTTCACTGTGTTGGCCAGGCTGGTCTCAAACTCCTGGCCTCAATGGTCTGCCCACCTCAGCCTCCCAAAGTGCTGGGATCACAGACGCGAGCCACTGGGCCTGGCCCAGAAATTTATTTCTCACAGTTTTGGAGGCTACAAAGTTCGAGATCAAGGCTCTAGCAGATTTGGTGTCTGGGAGAGGGCCTGCTTCCTCTTTCATAGATCTATTCCGTGTATCCCACGTAACAGGAGGGGCTCCCTTGGGCCTCCTTTGTAAGGCAGTAATCCCACCATGAGGGCCCCACTCTCATGACGTAAACACCTTCCAAAAGGCCCTGCCTATTAATACCTTCATGTTGGTGATTCAGTTTCAACATATGAATTTTGAGGGGACACAAACATTCAGACTGTAGCATGAACCTTTCCTGCATGGTCTTTCAATTACAGTGTGTAGCATATAATGAGTGTTCAGAAAGCTTTATTGAATGAATTTCCTTTTTGCTCCTACTAAGCAGTTCTACATTACTTATTGTCCAAAGGCAACAATTATAGTAAGTTCATTGTTGTTATTTTGTGGATTAAAAAATATATATTTCTGTAACTCAGTATTTTACAAAATTCCTCATACCTCAGCCCCTCTTCCCAGTACTTTCCCAAATTAGCTAAGATTTTTTTATATCTTCTTTTATAGGGAGAAAAAACATATAGGAGTGATTCTAAATAATTATTTATTGTAAGAATCCTGATTTTGCCTGTTTTAGAATCAAATCCTGAAGAAGTTAAAATTCGATTCATTATCAAGTTTCCAAAAGTTAACACTTAAATCATCTCAGCACCACAGATGCGATTTTGCTTGTCTTTTGAACTCTGCATAGCTTGTACTGTGTTATAATGTAACTTTGAAAACTAGTTTTTATAAATTGTATTTCTTAACAATTTGCACTTCTATTTGGCAAAATTTCCTTCCTTAGTTGAAATTATCCTCTGTGCTTTTCCATTATACAGAAAATTTTGGCTTTTATACCTTGGCAACTGTTTTTCAAATTTATTGACAATTGAGATGAAAATGGGAACTGGCCACAGGTTTTAGAGAATGATTAGCAGTAATCACAGAAAGCTATTAAAATATGCTGCAAGCAACATTTTAATTAACTAAGGCCTTTAGTCTATAGCAATGTACATTTTGTGATCAGGTCCTTGTCATATTCTTTTAACACTTGTATTTATTCGTATACTAATTCATCTATAATTGGCAAGGGGTCTGTGGGTCATTAGCACAAATTAGCAAGTTGCAGCTATTTATACATGACTTACATAATCATTTTTTCCCTTTTCCTTTTCACATCATTAGATTTTGGACAATCCTGGAAATTGTACTTTAAACATGTGGTCTCTGATACACTAAATTATTCAACTCCGTATCATCCAGATGCGTATTACAATCTGGGTGCTTGCTATGCACTCTACATTCGGTTCTGTGGGTTTTCGTGTTTGGCATTCTCCCCTTCATGTGAGCACACCAATTTAAGTACAGGAGGAGAACTATATTAACACAACGAATAAATTGCTGTATTTGGCAGTGCAGGGATCCAAGGAGATTAATGATCTTGCCTGCAGCTCTTTTCATACCTTCCCCCACTATCAAAACTTGAATGTCATG